GATTAAGTGCCACTTAATGCCCCCTACAATCGAAAGGGCGAGCATGTTTGGTGTGACGGGGATTCGAACCCGTGACCCTCAGATTGCGAGTCGAGTGCAGACTAGAGGGAAGATAGCTAGTCAACACCACCCACCGTCAACTCTTGGGCTACTCTTTTACCAACAAATAGCAGGATTAAGTGCCACTTAATGCCCCCTACAATCGAAAGGGCGAGCATGTTCGGTGACGGGGATTGGATTCGAACTCGCGACCCACAGATTGTATATTCTAAAAAGTAACCAAATTTTCAAAATGTTTTTCGTTGTCCAAAAGACTATTATTATTCAAGAAAGGAAAAGTCCCGAAAATATTTGACATTTGAATGAGTGTATTTTACATCTGCTTCCCTTGCTTTATTCTAGCCTGCACTAAGAAAGGAACACGTGTTAATATTTTCGTGTGCTAGACAGTACAAGATGCCACTCCCCGGTGTTTCAGCGGTAATTATGAGGGCTTATAACGCTCAAAATCGCGTTTCGATACTTACGGTGGGAAGAGCATAGATAGCCCATTGTGGAGCTTCGCGCTTAACAACAAACAAGTAACCAGGTCAGCTTACTTGACTGCTCCAAGTGTATGTTACAAAGACATGTATGTAAGTCACAAATTACATTACGAAATTATTATACTAAATAAAGCGATTGATTTCACCGCCAACTAATTAACGTTAAAACTAGTCTTCATAAATTAACAAAGATATTTAAAGGCATAACATTATCTTAACAGTTGCTGAGAAGAACTAAATAATCCGACGTCGAGTTTTATTGGAGATGTGGATTAACACCACATAGTATTTACAATTGCTAGTTTCTTTACCTTTGTTTATCTAGGTACCAAAACATGTGACTAGTGGATAAAAGATAGAATACTTGATTTGGTTGATGATATTTAAGATATAATTCACGTAATAAATAAACAAGATTATTCGAAACAGTCCCCAAAAATACCCGATCTGTAAATTACTATATAGTACTTTTGAGTTAAGATTTCGTTTGTGTGGACAGAAAGTAAGGTTATGTTTGATGGTATCTTTGAAGTAGATGGCGCTACAAGGTACTAATATTATATACTGAAGTTTGTTTGTTTGTTTGGAATTAAGCACATGGGTACACAATGGGCTATCTGTGTTCTGCCCACCACAGGTATCGAAACCCGATTTCTAGTGTTGTAAGTCCGCAGACAATTTAGTAGACTGGCTGACTTAAAAATGGACCACCTATTACCCATCTTCGTAATATATATAATGAATGGATAATATCTGACCAAAGACTGGTTAGAAACATTTGACAATGTGTTACACATCATGTGACCAGCAAAGTTATTAAAAGCTGCCATCTATGGCAATATTTTGTAAATTAAAGAAATTCACAATATCATTGTTAAGAAAAATCAATTAACCAAAGGTCTGTACTTACCAAGTGTCTCTTCGTAATATGTATAATGAATGGATAATATCTAACCAAAGACTGGTTAGAAACATTTGACAATGGGAAAGAAGGCGTAAACGTGTATTTGGCTAATCTCGTTGTCGCATAATGAATTATCTTTCGCATACAGTAAATGTTTCTTTTAAAAGTTTGTGCAAGAGTAACTCTTAAGTTTGAAATTCTTTTTTTGTCAGATAGTTTCTACACGTTAGGTGGCTCTTACGCTACGAAACTGGTCTGAAAGAATTTAAGAAAAAAATATTCATATATATATATATATATATATATGTGTGTGTAAGAACATTATTTTTTTTTCCATTTGAAAAGAGAGAGTACTCTCCTTACTAATAAATTTATAATTTTATAATTAATGTGAAAAAAACCCGAAAATATTTTCACACAAGCTCGTCAATAAACTATAATTATTTTTACACAAAAAGTTCATATACGTGATAACTCTGCACTATATTAGACTCTTACGATAAAGATCGTCATTTAATGTATATATATCACGCGTTATGAATAATAAATACCACTAAAATCAATGAGTCAGGGACTCCAGACAGTACAGAATATAGTATACGCCCATCTATTTCACGAAAACTACCAGAGACGATGGATTTCTATGATGTTAGAAAGGAATTAGGTGTAAACATATAAAGTCAGGTTAGGAATAACTTACAATATACCCTATTGTTTCACAGTGCGATGTGTGGTATATCCAACCTAGACGACATTCTATGCAACACATGGACTAAACAACCAGGTCAGACATTCCCGTCCCAAATTTAGGGCTGATGATCAAAGTAAAGGCAACCAATCAGCAGCTACTGCTTTCTATACAGCCCATATTAACTAAAGAGTGGGATTAATTATCAAGGTTATAACGATCAAGCAGCTGAAAGAATGTAGAGTGTTCAGCGGCCTATCGCAGCTCGAGTCTTGGACCTTTCGATTCGCAACTCGGTTCTATAACCATTAGGCCAAGAGTGGCACTCTATGTTCAACACAAGAAGTATTCAGTGGACATAAATTTCAAGTTCTTATTAGCAAAGTTTTTATGATATTTTCTTAAGCCTTTTCAATTACTTCAGTTCTGATATGCGTATATATGTTGTAAACACTGTCATTATTTATGTATAAAATTATAACTCTATATCTATGGCATTTAATTTTGAAATGACTGTAAGTGTCTTTCGAATAAAAACACGCGGGTGTTGTCTCTTCTATTCGAGTTCGATAGTCAGTTCGGTTTCCGGTTCCGTTCTTCTTCGTGGAACGGGCACGTCGAAAGCAGCCGAGTGAGAGTGGAATTCTGAAAAACAATTTCGTGATTAAAGCGGTCCAATGGATACTACCTTTTATGTATGATTAGTTCCGTCTCATCTAACTTAGAGAAGGAGCAAATGGGTATTAAAGTATTTCC